TCTTCTTCTAGTTTCTTGAATTGGAAACTTAGGTCACTGTTTTTTGGATCCATCTTTTCCAACATGAGCATGACAAGTAACTAAATCCATAAATCTCAACGATTAGCTTTAGCTTTCCCCCACATATGTCGATGTCTTATGTTTTCACTCTTATTACTTTTAAAATCTTTTAAATTTTCCATGTTGTTTTCTTTTTCACCTGTGGGTTATTTAGAAGAGGGTTTCTTAAGTTCTGTTGATTTATAAAGACAGCATAACTTTTATCTTTCCAATCTGTATGCCTGTTAGATATTTCCAGTTTAATTCCACTATGATTAGAGAACATGCTCTCTGGTTTTAGACAGTTTGAATTTGTTAAGACTTGTTTTATGTTTCAAGACCTCAGCTACTTTGCTAAAATTCCCTGAGCACTGAAAAAGAATGTGTACTCTACTGTTTGGCATTCTAGGAAGGTCCGTTAGGTCAAGTTGGTTGATAGTATTTGTCCAAATAGTCTTATTGATTTTCAGTGTTGTATTTTATCATTTTTTGAGAGAAAAATGTGAAAAGTTTTCATTAATTATTAAATAATAAAATAATTTAATTTATTATTAAATAACAATAATAAATTTATTCATCCTTTTAATTTTGTCAGTTTTGCCACATTAATTTTGATGATCTGTAACTAGGTGAATACATATTTAGCGTGGCTATAATTTTGGCAGATTAACCTTTATCACTAAGAATTTTTCTCATTGTCGGACACCTTCCTTGTTTTGAAGTCTCCTTTGTCTGATATTAATATAATCATTCCTCATCTTTCTTTTAATCAGTGTTTGCATTTGTACCTTTACCCACTCTTTTATTTTAAACTTATCTATGGCTTTATATTTAGAGTAGATTTCTTATAGACTGCATATGAGTGGATTGTATTTTATATTCAGTTTGATAAATGATGCCTTTTAATTTGAGTAGTTAAACCATTTACATTTGATATAATCATTAATATGTTTGGATAACTCTATCATCTGCCAGATGTTTGCTATTTGCTTTACCTCTTGCTCTTCTTTTCTCTTTCCTAACTTCTTTTGACTGAGCATTTTTGGCGTGTCATTTTATCTCCAGTAATGACTTATTAGAATACTTTTTAAATGTATTGGTTGATTTGTAATTGGTGTATGGTTTATAATATGCATCTTCAACTTTCACCGCCTGCCTTCATATTATACTTTAGTACTGCACATATAAGAATCCTACATGCTTTCCTATTTCTTGCTAGTGTTGTCATGTTATTCTTCTAACTGTGGTTTAAAACTTCAAGCCTCTTGTTATTATTTGCTTTAAACACTCAATTATCTCTTAAAATATTTTTCAAAGAGGAAATATTCTATAATATTTCATATGTTAACCATTTTTAGCAACTCTTCACTCTTCATTCTTCTGTGTAAATCCAAGTTTTCATTTGATCTCATTTCTTCCATCTGAATAATTTATTTTCTTGTAGTACAGGTCTTCTAGTAACAAATTGTTGTAATTTTTGTTTGCTTGAATATGTCTTTTTGTCACTTTGAAAGATAGCTTGGCTGGCTATAGATTTCTAGGCTAATTTTTTTCCCCTACAACTTTGAAGATTGTTTCACTGTCTTCTGGCTCACGGTGCTTCTTCTCAGATGTCACACTATTTTATTCAAGGTTTCTTACAAAGTCATTATCTTTCACCCCTGTCCTATGCCTTTAGTCTCTGGCTACTTTTGAAGCTTTCTCTTTATTGCTGGGTTTCAGAAATTTGATTATTATATACTTTGGTCTGTTTTATTTGTGTTTATCCTTCTTGGGCTTCATCGAGCCACTTTGAACTGTGGTTTATTAATTTTCATTGAATTTGAAATTTTTTGGTGTTTCTTCAAATATATGTTTGCTCTCTCCTTGTGGGAAGATTGCAACAATACAGCTTTTAAACAGTTTAATGTTGTCTCATTGATCACTGAAGCTATTTTATTGGAATTTTAAAAATCTCTATGCTTTAATTGCATATTTTTTATTTTTATAACTTGAATTCACCAATAACATTTTTTTTGTAGTATCTAATATACAATCTAATTCTTCCATTAATTTTTATTTTCTCATGTTTTATTTTCAGCCTTACAGGATTCATTCATTTCTACTTTTCATTTCCTATTTTTCCTCTTTATTTTGAGTTTTCTCTAAGTCATTGAGCTTTTTTTAAATAATCATTTTAAAGTTCTTATTTAGTAACTTTATCGTACCTAACATTCACAGTTTCTGTTTCTATTGACTAAGTTTTCTTTTGGTTATGAGTTACCTTTTTGCTTCTTTTATGTGTCTAGTAATTATTCACTATAATTATTAATTGAATGCTCATCATGGTGAATTACATTGCTGAGTATCTAGATTCAGTTATATTCCCTTAAAGAATGTTGAATTTTGTTTGGGCTGGTGTTAATACACTTTACCATCAAAGTGATCCTTTTGAGGTTTTTTTTAAAGCATTGTTAGGGAGTGTCCAGAATAGTCTTTACATGAGGGCTAGTTTAGCACTATTCCTAAGACTAGACTTTTTGGGTCTTTACTTAGTATATGCTGTTTGGTGAGTTTTCTTAACTCTGGCTGGTAAGAATTTAAACATATTCTAGCTCTGTGAGAACTCTGAGAAATGTTCCATTTACAGCTCCCAGGTACTTTTTTGCTTTACTTCATAGAGCTCTAATGTTTACCCTTTAGCAAAACATTCAAAGGAGTCTTTAGGAAGATAACAGTACTTGTCCATTCTCACACTACTGTAAAAAACTACCTGAGACTGAGTAATTTATAAAGAAAAGAGGATTAATTGACTCACAGTTCTTCAGGCTGTACAGAAAGCATGACTGGGGAGGCCTTAGGAAACTTAAAATCATCAAGGAGGGCTGAATGGGAAGCAAGCATGAATTCACATGGTGACAGGAAAGAGAGAGAGAAAGCAAAGGGGAAAGTGCTACACACTTTTAAACAACTAGAACTTGTGAGAACTCAGAGAACAGCAAGGGGAAAACCTGCCCCCATGATCCAATCACCTCCCACAAGATCCTCACCAATTCCCAACTGTAATTGGGAATTAGAGCTCCACATGAGATTTAGGTGGGGACACAGAGTCAAACCATATCTGTTACTGTAGCTTTTTTTTCTGCATAGTCTTCTTCATTCCAGTACTCTTTCTTTTAAATACCAGCTGCACCAGCCTCCCTTTCCTATGATCTCTATCTCTTCAACTCAGAGACTACTGTGTTAAATTTGAATTCCCCCAACTTAACCACAATATGCACAGCATGAAAAGTGCCTCCACATAGAAAGCCAGAACCATCACAGAACTGACTTCATTACTTTTTCTTCTCCCTTGACTATGGTAGTCCTGGGAGCCTGTTGTCTAAAAACAGTAGTTTCAGTTTTGTCCTATTTTCCAATTGCTTGCAGTGGTGAGGCAACTTTTACACTGTTATCCTAGCATGCCACAAGTAGAATTCCCCATTAACTGAAGTTTTAAAAATGTTGAATCCTGTTAATTGATAAATAAAATATAGTACATTAATATAATAAAATGCTATTCATCAGTGTAAAGAACAAAGTACTGACACTTGTTACAATATAGATGAACCTTAAAAACACTAAGCTAAGTATAAGAAACCCAAAATATACAAACATAAATTGTATGACACCATTTATATAAAATGTCTAGAAAAGAAAAATAGAGAGAGACAAAAAGTAGATTACCATTTGCTTAGGGGTGGGGGTGTGAATGAAGGATATCTATAAATATGCAGGAGGTGTCTTCTTTAGGATGATGAAAATGTTCTAAAATTGTGATGATGATTGTACAACTCTGTAAATGTTCTAAAATTCATTGAATTGCATACTTGAGATGGATGAATTTTATGGAATATAAATTATGTCTCAATTAGGTATTTTTTTTAAAAAAAGTTACATCCTGTAGTTTTAGAAACTTTAAACGCTTTAGAAAATTAAGGAAGAAGTTGTGCCTTACATTTGGGGTAAAGCATTATGGGATGGACAAGTAACTACCTGAAAAAGCCTCTTGGAAGACAACAAAATATGACTTCAAAACTTTGCAATAGAATTAGTATGGACATTTCAGCTGGTGGGATGAGAATAGCACCAGTATTGATTCGTAGACCATGTGGACATTGTTGGGGATTTTTGAAGGTAGGGAACATGGTTTGGTGGTGTTGGTGCATAAAATTAAATTCTTATTGCTGATGACTGGAGTAGGCAGGGATTGGACTTTATGAAGTTATAATAATTTTTTAAATATGACAAAGAAGCAAGAGCTAGCTATAGCAAAAGTTGTAGTTCTTAACTGTAAGACACGGTTGCTCTGTTTAAGAAAAGACACTTAGAAACCACAATTTAGCTAATTTTAGAGACCTTCTAAATAATCTGATGTTATTATATGAATACTAAAGCACTACTGAAATAAATCTTTTCTTTGTATACATTTCTGTTACTGCTTCTAACTCTTGTTTCATATGACATGAAGAAATTACTAAACTACTCTGCATTCACAGTCATCTTGTGTTTTTTTAAAAGGAAATATTTCTATTTTTCACCACTCCAAAACTACACTATTGGTGGTACTACAGTGTATCAGGAAATTCCCTACCATCAAAACTCACACCCACATCTTGCATGCATTTTACTTAAAGGGAGTATTATCTTGAACAGTTCTTTGGATAAGAGGAATAAATGTGCTTTTTTAAAAAACACAAATTGAGTCTATATGGACAAAAAGGTTAAACAGTTGGAATGGGTTTTATATATTCAACCATATTAATGTTTTAGAATTCAGTAAAAACTGAGTTTGAATAATGATAATTTTTTTCATGGTTTATAACCAAAATACACAGGAATTGAAAACAACTTTCTGTGAATAGACTAATGATGTTAGATCATCTTTCAAGGAAAAATATGTGACTTAATAAGTCAAGAATGTGTTTTGTTCTCTATTTCAGTTTTTCACCAGTGTAACAGATTGCCTCTCCTGCTGTTGTTTGCAACCTTTTTACAGTTGGCGTAAGTACATACATTAAATGTATTCTGATTATTATGGACACCCCACTGTGCAGCTTCCATTACAATAGTGTCCGTTAGGCAGTGTTTTCATTTCCTAAGTTACCATGCTTTTGTAATGTGTGTTATTAAGTGCTACCTCTTTCCAATACTTTGAGGCTCTATAATTACCCAGGAAGGCAACTATATGGTGTTTGTAAATTTGCACAGAAGCGTGAACAGGAACACAGGCTGCTAGATGGCAATAACAGAATCTGTGCCTGGGGATTCTGCTGAAAATGGTAATTTCAGTTTAACATTTTTGATTTTCAGGGAAGCATTTCAATATAGACCTCTGGATAACCACAGCCACATTTATCAGAAATAGGATTGCGACATTGACAAATGCAACACTGAGAAATACAACAAAATATTTTCCGAGCATGCTTTCCTAGAATATTGCTCTTCATGGAGCATTTTGCTGCTTAATTAACTCAGGGAACATTTGTTTTTTGTTTTGATTTTTTGATTTAGCGACTTATTTTTATAACTAAAGGCAATTCTCCCTCCCCACCTGCAACCCCGTTAAGTGTGAATAAAAAGTAAACGGGGCAGGCATTCTTGTTCTTTGTTTGTAAGCTACTTCCCACTTGATATGGTTTGGCTCTGTGTCCCCACCCAAATCTTAACTTGAATTGTAATAATCCCCACATGTCAAGGGTAGGAACAGGTGGGGATAATTGGATCATGGGAGAAGTTTTCTCCATATTGTTCTTATGATACTGAGTGAGTTCTCATGAGATCTGATGGTTTTACGAGCAATTTCTTCTTCACTTGGCTCTCTCATTCTCCCTCCTGCCACCCTGTGAAGAGGTGCCTGCTGCCATGATTATAAGTTTCCTAAGGCCTCTCCAGCCATTTAGAACTGAGTCAATTAAACTTCCTCTCTTTATAAATTACCCAGTCTCATGTATATCTTTATTAGCAGTGTGAGAACAGACTAATATGCCAGTCAAGTACATCGTTCTTGATATTCCAGCTTGTTTTGCTTACACACCATAAAACAGTTATTCTTACTCAAATTCATTTTTGTTGAAGGAAGTAAAAAATTCAGAGTTCTAGAGGCAGAAACAAGATATCTAAGGATACAGCTAGCCAAGGAGGAAAGATATTTGAGTCATGGTGAACCAAAAATAGCATATGGAGCATAGTATATGAAGGTCAACACACAGGGTCCCAGATCACAGTAGCCAAACTCAGCTTCTGCAAAACTTCCTGCCAGAGAAGCCAAATTTGCTCAGTGCTCTTTTAAGTACACATGCATATCATCATCATAGAAATCAAGTAGCTGAAAGTTTACAAAATTACTTGAGAAACTACATTTAAGATCAAGAAATCTTTTGAGTACTTCAAGGCCACATTTAGTTGAGTGCTATTTTATGAAACACAAAAAAGGTAAGAGTAATCAGTATGAAATGAAACAATTTTTTAACAAATTGAAAAAATAGTTCAGGAACTGGAGACAGGTAGAATTCGCAAGGCTATTCCAGGAAGCAGAAAATAAAAGTACAAAAGAATAATATTGTTGAATCATATGATACATGTTTTCTGGTCTATTGGTTAGATGTAAACAACAATAAAAGTACATTTTATATAGCACCTTACAATTCACAAGATACTTACCTCATATTGAGTCATCTAACAAGTTTGTGACATGAGGCCAGGAAGTGTCTTTAATTTTCAAAAAAAAAAACTAAAGCTCATGCTAATTAGAAAGCTTAGTGGCAAGTATACAGCAAAGAAAAATTGGAACTTCAGCTTTCTAAATCCTAATCAAATGCCTTTTACTATTCAATACATTAATGTAATTTTTTCAAAAGATGAGAGTATCTGAAATGACATTTTAGATACCTTTTAGAAGAGAAGTATCACAGTAGTGGATGCAGACCTTGCAAGTATTTCCAGCATCCTCCACTTCCATGCTGAAACTTTGCAGCTAAGGGGAGACTAGAGAGGTCAGAAGGAGTATCCAAGAGTGGGGCATTCTCAAGAAGGACCAGTGGTATTCCTTATCTTCGGAGCTTCAGGCTAAAATCTGGCCAGTTTGCCTTGATTTTTCTAACTCTCACATGTAAAGAATAATGACCTTTTCATCTAACAAAGAAAGGCCTCCTTAAAGGGATCTTCATTCCAGTTGTATATATTCTGTTGACACCTTTACTAAAGAATACAGTTTTTAAATATATATATAATGTTTCTTATATTCAAACCCAAACAGTTAAGAGGAGAATGCATCTTTTGTTTTCACTCTTTGCCCAGATATCAAGTTGATAATCATATGGTTATCAGTGATATGCATCAGCTCATAAGTAACCCTTCTGTATGTGAACATGGGGAATTTTTAAATACTGGGCTCTTCAATATGAATTTGTGTTGCAGTCATGTTATCATCTCATGCCTTCCAAGATTTCAAAGGATCTGATGGCTGTAATTGCAGAGAATAAATGAGTAATCTTTAGTCTATTTTAGAAATGGAAGGCCAGATGATTCCTTCTCCGTAAAGGACTAAGGTTTCATCCAATGCCAACTCTGGTAAGGCCTTAGTCATTTCTGTGGGTGAAATCTGATCTGATGCAAGCAATGCTATTTTCATTTCTGAAAATTATCTGTGTCCAGTGCCTCAATCACTCAGTAGGTCCACACTACAATAAAAAGATTTGAAATGGAAGAATTGCTTCTTTCCTTCAGTTCCTCTCTTAATTTTGTCTTAAAGTGCATCTTGAATCTGAATGAGCTCCAGACAAAAGTTACATACAACAGACAGGAGAATTCAAACCAATGCATTTATTATGCTCAGGAATCACAGCTGACTCCCAGCGCTGCCAAATCCAGCAGGGTTTACACAAACTGCTTGTGGTTTTTATAAGCATTGATTGCAGCCAAAATGCTGTTTTGTGAGCTGAATTTTTATCCTATTGCCAAGTGACCAATAACTTTGCATCAATATAAGGGTTTATTAAGCTTATTTTATGACTTTTGCTTACAAGTTTATTTAGTTCTGGCAAAAAACGTAACATAAACATGAATATTTCCTTCCAAGTTACTGTCAGTGAAGACAACGTTTTGTTTTGTTTCATTTTGTTTGTTTTAATGAATCTGAACAGTTGAACTACAATCACATACCAAAAAAACAAATAATACAAATCAATCCCTCTGGAAATTTGGGAATATGAAAAGATATCTTATACATAAAAGAGAATTGTGTTCCTGAATCTTTATCCATAAAGCCACTAAAGCAATTACTAACAGCAGGAGCCTGTAAAAATATAAAACAATGAGTTTTCCATATACCATATTGTAGAATAGATAAAAATAGAGTCCTAGGCCCAGTGGAATTTAGGATCACAAAGTTCTGCATGTAAATGGGTGGAAACAATGCAGAACTTAAGCAAAAGAATGGAATTTAACTCTAATTGAAGATGCTCCCTAAGGAGCTTGTTACTCCAAAATTTATCTAAAGGGATTCTAAAAACAGTTTGATTGTTAGTCATCTGGCTGGGATTCTACAGCAAAAATTTTTCCCTGAAATTCACTCTGATTGATATCTATTCATTTTTTTAAAAAATTGGAAAGGGAAGATAAGAGAAAAAATACTATTAGTGGTTTTAGTGAGGCTCTCTCCTTTGAGATTTGAATCTGTTTAGAGTAGAAATTGTATCCCTGTGATTGGCTTCCTTCTTACTGTAGAATTCTGCTAAGAGTGAGAAGAGGTGAGGAAGAGAATGGGAAGCAGAATCTCCTTTTTTGGGTTCTGGTCCTAGAAGAAAGAGCTTCCCATGGGAAGGATGGTTACAGACATTCATGCTGTCAGGCTTTGTGAAATATTGGAGGCCCAAAAAGCAAAGATTTCAGTATGCAATTACCAAAGCCTGACTCAGAAAACAGAAGAAAAATCATTATGCTGATGAAAACTGAAACCACAGACTTGTACAAATTGCTGAGTACTTGACAAGGCAGCCACTATGTCGTATCACAAAGGCAAAGTCAAAATAAATAAGCATTTCTTTTCGTCATCAATCAATAATTTTGTATCTCATGGAGATCTGCTCAATACTTATGGGATTTTTATCTTTTTTTTACTAATATAACACCAACGTTGTTGCTCTGGAATTCTTAGAAATTTTGTTCCCATGTGGAAACTATCAGCACACAAGGCTATTGCGCCAGACTCAACCGCTTTTAAAATCCCAAATAATGCACTGTAAGTCTTCATATCTTCCAAATGTATAAATCATCATTCTGGAGAGTACTGGTATTCTATAATACATTATTTAATCAGCTATAAAGATTCTTTTTTATAGGGTCATTTTATTAAAACTAATCATAGAATCTAAACTCCAGAAAATTTTATTAGTAAACCTAAATGATGTTAATATGATATTTAGTAATACTTCTTAATGAAGTAGATTTAACACCTTAGGCTTATCTTATGAATGAAAATATGTAATAAAATTATTGTTATAATTTTGTCTCAATGAACACAGACACACTTATAACTTTAAAATGTTGAACAAAGAAGACCAAGAATTGTTGAAAATTTAATATATCTTAACAAACACCGAGTTCTGGGTAAGGTGATTACTTACTTGATCATGACTACAGCTTCTAGAAAAATAATTCTAATTCACTTATTCATTTGTTAAATATATGTTGCATACCAAGGTATGCCAAATGCTGTGCTAGCACCTAAGAATAAAAGATGAACAAAAATTATGTCATAACCTTCTGCTTCTGAAGACAGCCATGTGAGCAAAGAATCATGATAAGACTGAACTAGGAAGAAATTAAATCCCTCAATAGACCAAAGCAAGCCCTGAAATTGAGGCAGTGATAAATAACTTATCAACCAAAAAAAGCCCAAGTCCAGACAGATTCACAGCTGAATTCCACCAGATGTACAAAGAAGAACTGGTACCATTTCTACTGCAACTGTTCCAAAAATGTTCAAAAAGAAGGACTCCTCTCTAATTCATTCTATGAAGCCGGCATAATCCTGATACTGAAATCTAACAGACATAAGAAAGAAAAAGAAAACTTTCGGCCAATATCCTTGATGAACATTGATACAAAAATCCTCAACAGAATACTGGCAAACCAACTCCAGCAGCACATCAAAAAGTTTATCCACCATAATCAAGTAGGTGTTATCCCTGAGATCCAAGGTTGGTTCAATATATGCAAAGCAATAAATGTGATTCTTCACATAAACAGAACTAAAGACAAAACCACATGATTATTTCAATAGACGCAGAAAAGTCTTTAGATAAAATTCAACATCCATTCATGTTAAAAAGTCTCAGTAAGGAATTGAGGTACTGAAGGAATACACCTCAAAATAATAAGAGCCATCTATGAAAACCCACAATCAACATCATACTGTATGGGCAAAAGCTGGAAGGATTTCCCCTTCAAAACTAGCACAAGACAAGAGTACCCTCTCTCACCATTCCTATTCAACATAGTATTGGAAGTCCCTGTCAGGGCAATCAGGCAAGAGAAAGAAATGAAAGGTATCCAAATAGGAAGAGAGAAAGTCAAATGATAGGACATTATCTTATATCTAGAAAATGCCCATAGTCTCAGCTCAAAAGCTTCTTGACCTAATCAACAACTTCAGTGAAGTCTCAGAATACAAAAGTTAAGGTGTAAAAGTCACTGGTATTCTTATACACTAACAACAGTCAAGCTGAGAGTCAGATCAAGAACAAACTCCCATTCACAATAGCTACTTAAAGAATAAAATCCCTTGGAATACAGCTAACCAGGCAGGTAAAAGAACTCTACAAGGTGACCTACAAACCACTATTCAAAGAAATCAGAGATGACACAAACAAACGAAAAAACATTCCATGCTCATGGTTAGGAAGAACCAGTATCATTAAAATGGCCATACTGCCCAAAGTTATTTCTATCAAACTACCAATGGTACTCTTCACAGAACTAGCAAAAAAAAAAAAAAAAAAAAAAAAAAAAACTATTCTAAAATTCATGTGAAACCCAACAAGAATCCAAATAGTCAAGGCAAACCTAAGCAAAAAGAACAAAGCTGGAGGCATCATACTACCCAACTTCAAACTATACTACAGGAATATAGTAACCAAAGCAGCATGGTACTGGTACAAAAACAGACACATAGATCAATGGAACAGAATAGAGAACCCAGAAATGAGACCAGATACCCACAGCTATCTGATCTACAACAAAGCTGGTAAAAACAAGCAATGGGGAAAGGATATCTTATTCAATAAATGGTGCTGGCATAACTGGCTAGCCATACACAGAAGATTGAAACTGGACATTTTCTTACACCATATACAAAAACCAACTCAAGATAGATTAAAGACTTAAATGTAAAACCCAAAACTACAAAAACCCTGGAAGACAACCTAGGAAATACCATTCAGGACATAGGCACAAGCAAAGATTTCATGACAAAGTTGCCAAAAGCAATTGCAACAAAATCAAAAATGGACAAATGGGATCTAAACTAAAGAGCTTCTGCACAGCAAAAGAAGCTATCAATAGAGTAAACAGACAACCTACAGAATAGTTGAAAATTTTCACAAACTGTGCATCTAACAAAGATCTAATGTCCAGCATCTATAAGGAGTCAAAAAAAGTCAAAAAAATAAAAGATTCTAGCAAGACTGTGAGAAAAAGGAATGCTTATACACTGTCGGTGGAAGTGTAAATTAGTTCAACTATTGAGGAAGACAGTGGGGCAATTACTCAAAGACCTGAAGACAGAAATACTATTCGACCCAGCAATTCCATTACTAAGTATATACCCAAAGGAATAGAAATCGTTCTATTATAATGACACATGCAAACCCACAACTATTCACAATAACAAAGACATGGAATATTCACAATAGCAAAGACATGGAATCAACATAAATGCCCATCAACAATAGACTGGATAAAGAAAATGTGATACATATACACCGTGGACTACTATATGACTATAAAAACAATGATATCATATCCTTTGTAGGGACATGGAACTGGAGGCTATCATCCTTAGCAAACTAATGCAGGAACAGAAAACCAAATACCACCTGTTCTCACATTTAAGCCAGAGCTAACTGATGAGAACACATGGACACATAGAGGGAAACAACATGCTAGGGTCTATCGGATGGTGGAGGGTGGGAGGAGGAAGAGAATCAGGAAAAATAACTATTGAGTACTAGGCTTAATTCCTGGGTGATGACGTATTCTGTACAACATACCCCCATTATGCCAAGTTTACCTATGTAACAAACCTGCACATGTGCCCCTGAATGAAAGTTATTTTTAAAAACAGAATCATGACATAACCTAATAAACACCATACACAGCAAACTCATCAAGTTGATTCCTGCCTTGCATTGTACCTGGGCTAGTCTTTCCACCCATAAGCTTCTCCCAGCTTTTACACTATTATTCAATTCCCCACAACATAAAGTCTCTGCTCACATTTCCCCTCGACAGAGGAGTGCTTTATTCCCTTCATAGCACTTGTCACTATCTAGGGCTCTATCTTTTATTATTTACTTCCTGTCTTCTCCCATTTAGACATGCACCTAATGTGGGCCAAAACTTTGTCTTCTTCTTTTTTCATACTCTGAGCCTTGGGAGGACTGTTTGGCACACATTAAGGACTTAACAAAGAGTTGAATGAATCAATAAATGTAGAAACTATAATAATGGCAAAAAAAACTATCATTTTTGTCTCAAATCATTATCACTGAACCAGTCAGAATAGCAAGGCAGCCCTAGGAATGAAGGAAATAATAGGAAAATAAAAACACTAAGAGTATGTTGAGTAGATGATTTAGGAAGGGAGGGAAAGGCCCCTTTCCAAGATACTTGTTTCCTTTCTTAGTTAATTAATCCCAGGGTCCCCCATGGTCCCTCCTCAAGGAACCTAAGGGCTCAGGTGTTGCTGTCTATTTTTCTACCAGTAACTACTTCATTGGATTCTCTTGTGATGTGGAGAGTTCTTTGCCTGGCTCTCCAGCTTCTCAAATAAGTGTGTTTCTTATTTATTTTGACTGCATTACAAAGAGATTAATTCGATGTATCACCAATATTCCATTATTTTTAAATACAAGACTTCGTGAATGACTACATTTATACCTTTACAGATGAGTCTTCTCCATCCCTCATCTTTACCCCGAAAAGCCAAGTATCATTCATAGAAGAATGTTTCCTAGTTTGATGATTATGATTAAGCAGAGGGCATGTTGCACATGGGTAGGAGCCTGCCTTCCCAAGTCATACTGCTGAGACATGACCTTCGGTAAGTTGCTTTTCCTCACTGTGTCTCAATTTTATCAGGGGCAAAGTTAAAGCAACAATGCTACCCAGTGTTTAGTGAGGATTAGATATGAAAATTCATGAACAACACTGAGCAGAGAGATTAGCCCTTAGAGTGGTAGATTCATTGTCACTCTCATACGTCAACCTTCTTTCTCTTCATTCTAATGTAAAAATTCTAGAAACTCTATATTTTTAGCCATCTGCATTCTGTACTTTGAAAGGCAGCACAGCAAGAGCTGCAGCACTCGTGATCTTTCCAGCACTCATGAGCTCTGCTCTCTAAGCCAACAGGGTGTAGGATCTCAATAGACTGTACAGTAATAATAAGTCATATTTCTCCCATTATCCTTACTTTATTTCCTGAAAAAATTAAGATATGTCCTAATATAATTCAGAGTGATAGAATTTTATGAAGTAAATCTTCCCATGTGAATATTTTTTTTGTGGAAAAAGTCTTTCACTATCACCCAGGCAGGAATGCAGTGGTGTGATCTTGGCTCACTGCAACCTTCACGTCTTGGGTCTAAGTGATTCTCCTGTCTTAGCTTCCCCTGTAGCTGGGACTACAGGCACATGCCACTACATCTGGCTAAAATTTTGTATTTTTAGTAGAGATGGGGTTTCACCATGTTGGCCAGGTTTGTCTCGAACTCATGACCTCAGGTGATCCACCCACCTCCTGCCTCCCAAAGTGTTGGGATTATAGGCGTGAGCCACTATGTCTGGCCAAATGTGAACATTCTTATTTTCCAATAGGCACTTTTAACAAACTGAAATTGTTTGGCATGCAAATAGCAAAGTTGACTAACAAGAGCTGATGTTATATATTGTGATTAAGAACGGCCTGAGATTTAGAATCAGGCAAACATGAGTGCAAAGCTCCACGACCTGTATGACTTTGGTCATCTTATTCAACTTCTCCATGTTTACTCATCTGTAAAACTGAGTTAACGGTAGCAACTACCTCATAAACCTATTGTGAGCAGCAAATTACAAAACACATGTAAAGTGGTTAACAAGGTGCCTGGCACATGGTCCGTGCCCAATAATATGTCTTGTTTCTTATCATTGTTATTTCCAGGTAGCATTCTATATTCTCCCCAGTAATAATGCTAACAAAACCTTAAATTAGTAAATTAAACTAGCCTTTTCCTGGCACCACATAATCAATCATAACCTTAGTCCCAGAAAAGTTTAAATTGAGTTCATGTGCACACACATACACACACACACTCAATTACAGCTCAAGAAATAGAATTTAGATATTCGAGATGCTAGTACATATAATTTTATAATCCATCATTCTTCATCAATGTGAAATTGGTTAAAATTATAGCATGCCATTTCTTAGTATGGGGAACAGTGCCATTCCTCCTTGGCAGACTAGCCCGAGTTTATTTGCACTGTACCTTGTGTGACTGGCAAGGACGTGTTCTCTCTGACTTCAGCTTTCAAGACAAGGTCTAATTTCTTTTCCATGGTTGATGGGTACTATATATCTCTGCTCTCCTAGTATCCCCCAAATCACACTTCACTGTCCCCTTCTTGGGTATCAGTAGACATGGAGTGAACTCTTTTCCTGTACTTCAAACTAGAAAATCATTCCCCAAGGATCCATTGCAGAATGGAATGTGTGCATCTGCCAATTAGGCTTTGAGCCAATTGTAATTCACTGGGGTTTCAGTCTAGAGGGTTCTAAGTGGATTATAAATTTAACCCTAGGACAATTATCACCATATAATATATCTTTAATTTCTGTGACTTGGCAACACCAATGAAAATGTGTCATTTATTAGCCCTTTCACATTCAGCACAGGCCAGGACTAGCTCCATAATACTTGTACGGTTGGTGAAATTTGTTTAAAAGTCTCCCTATTTACCTACATTCTAGCACGTATTTCTGTAGTCAATAACAAGTCTTTCAGCCAGATCCTAAATATTTCCTTCATCTGCAACATTGAGACTCAGAGAATATATGCGCGAATCAACCTATCACCAATTTATTTCAGAATGGTCCTCAAATTTTAATACACTTTCTACAGTTCACAATGTTTTACATGTTTTAAACTTTATATAAACAGGTTTGCATTGTACCTATTTTCTTCCAGCTTGCTTTATCTGTTAGCACCAGATTTTTAAGATTTAAACATACTGATGCTTGTAGATGTGGTGTAGCCTCTGTATAAATGTACACAACTTATTTATGTACTATGTAGCAAAGGAATAACTCAGCAAGTCTGAGTTACCATTCCAAAGAAAGTTTGGACCATAACTAGCTCCTGGAAGGCAACATTATAGTACCTTTATTTTCTTCTCTAATAAGAGAGTTTTTGTTTCCCTGGGGGCCTTCAGTGATGCCAAGTTTTCTAATAACGGTGAAGGACTTGGGCCATGGAATATCAGCTTAGATACTAAGGCTCAGGTAAGCTTCCTTAGGTGATATAAGTTGGAAATCTTTTATCTGAAATGCTTGGGACCAGAAGTGTTTCAAATTTCACATTTTTTCCAGATTTTAGAATATTTGCATTATATTTACTGAATGAGCATCCCTAAGCCAAGATCCAAAATGCAAAATGTCTCAATGAGCATTTCCTCTAAGCACCATGTTATAGCTAAAAATACTTTGGATTTTGGAACATTTTAAATTTCTGATTTTCAGATGAGGGATACTCAAATATCTCCTTCACCTGCAACATTGAGATGTACTGTACTTACTGTATGTTTTCATGAGTACTTACCTGTACTTCATGTGTATTTTTAAGTGTTACTGCTAAGAGAAATAAATAAATTCCACTGAGAGAAGACAAATGAAAGTTCATGCTTGGTGAAGCTAGGATTTTCTTTATACATAAATATATCATCAGCAGATAATGACAACTTTATTTTGCATCTCCTTTTCTTCTTCAAATTGACTTAAATATGACTCTGGGACTCCATCCTGAGGGACTGATGGGAAATGCTACCCCAGTCATTACCAGGTCATTGCTCACTCATACCCGTATACCCAAGGTTATAACCGTGGCCCAGGGTCTTACACATCACCAGTGAGCCAGGAGGGGCCACATGGGTCAACCGTTACAGATGCATGTAGTTATCACTAATACAAGACTTTTCATGTTTCAAACCACAGAACTTCTTCAGATCTGATGGCTTTGCTGCGTTTGAGCCATGCTGGAGGCATAAAAATCTTTGTTAATCCTGGGAGCCCCAGGCCCAGTCTCCATATGCCCCACATGCAGCTATCTCCTCTGAGATTTGGCTCCCTCTCCAGTTGCTGTCCCAATTCCACATGAACACATAGAATGGGAGTTATCATCAATCCCTTCACTCCCTATTAGTCCTTTAAAAACAATCAATGTGTCTATCTACCTGAGTCTAACTAGATACACAAATTAAAATGATAATAAACTACCCACCCATGTGCTACAATCCCCTTTATACAGGTTGTTTTTTCTGCCAAGTTTCTATGTAATTGCCAAAGGCTGGATATTTATCTCTTGGCACTCAATTTTTCCTGCCACTGCTTTTCCCCTTAAGCACACATACTCTAGTGATCTGCTGATTTGGCTCTAGCCTCATCCACCAGCACATCTAATCTTAAAACTCTTCTAACACAAATAATTTAACACTAGCTTCTCTGATTTTCATTCTAACTCCCATTACCTCATTTAGTCGGCAAATAAGCTTCTTTAAGAATTGTGAGTAAAAAATAATTTTCCCCTTTAACATTTTTTTTCTGCAATCAGGAGGTCATTTACCATATAATCAGCAGATACCAGCTTGAAAGGACATACAGAATTTTACAGGGTGCTGGCCCATTTGTGTGAGTCAAGGAAGAATCACAGAAAGGAAAGCCTAAGCCAAATGTAGACATTTTGCCAGGATGAGGAAACTAAGGGAGAGGGGCATTTCTAGCTGAAGGATCTATCTGTGCAAAGAGATAGAGTTTTGAGAAAATATAGTCCACATTTTTTAAATGCAAAAGAGTAAAGTTTACTTTTCAGCAGAATCAAAGAGGAAGGGGTAGGAACTTTGGTTACAGAATTCAGGTCAGGCAACTGAAAGTTTTAAAACTCATATTAATGGTCCACATACACCAAGAAATAATACTACACAGCCATAAAATAAGAATGAGATCATGTCCTTTACAGCAATGTAAATGGAGCTGGAGGCCATAATCCTAAATGGACTAAAACAGGAACAGATAACCAAGTACCCGGTGTTCTCACTTATGAGTGGGAGCTAAACATTAATACACATGGACACAAAGAAGGGAGTAACAGACACTGAGGCCTACTTGAGGGTGAAGAGTGGAAAGAAGGAGAGGATAAAAAAATTACCTGTCCAGCACTATGTTTGTTACCTGGGTGATGAAATGATCTGTACATCAAGCCCCCATGACATGGAATTTACCTATATAACAAACATGCACATGTACCCCTGAACCTAAAATAAGGATATTTTTTAAACTAGTTCATAATAAATAAATAAATTTATATGAAATAATTAATATCTTCTTATAGATGATGAAAGTCATTGAAAATATTTGAGTAGGGAAGAGATGGAAAGATACAATATTTGGCTCCCTAACTGACAATGTGATGTTAATGATTAAAATATCACCTTAAAACATCATCTTTTATGCAAGTTTTGCATTTTAAAAGAACATGTTATGTAACTAGGGAATTGAAAAGTCAAAACAACAAAGAGATTCCACTACATATTTAATGGAATGGCTAAAATCTTAAAAATTGACAATGTCAAGTGCTGACAAAAACGTAAAACAGAAGAAGTCTCACTAATTCTTAGCGTGAGTGCAAAACAATATAGTCACTTTGGAAGACTGGCAGTTTCTTACAGTTTAACATATTGTGCAATTCAGCAATAATTCAGACTTTCCCATGAGATAAAAAACATATATACATAAAAACCTCCATATGGGTAGTTATAGCGTCCATACTCATAACTGTGAAAACTGCA